GGAAAAGAAAATACGTCCTGAATGAATAGTAACTGATGGATTGCCTCTTTTAATAGAAGAGGATACAGTTTTCAATAATTTTCTTAGAAGTACCATAGAATCTATCGAGGAATAAATGTTCTAAATCAATTGATGAAATTTATTTTTCATAAGCATCATCAAATATATGGTTCAACCCTTCAAATTTTTTATAAGAATTTATAAAATATTCTCATGAATATGTGTCAACCTATATCACTCTCTAATCATAACCTCTAAATCTGCAGTAGTAGTATCAGTTTTCGATTTGAATTATTGCTAAATAAAGGATTATTTTTCTTGTAATACTCAGTTGATCTGCCTTGATGTCATAGTAGGAATTTTATATCTACTGCATTCGGATTCAAATATTTCGTATTAATTCAGGAACAGCGAGTGAGTTCAATCAACAATTTTAGTATCCTTAACACACAATCGGCTATGGAAAGATAAGACAGATTTCCCAAACGAAAAAGAGATGATATCGATGAAGAAATTATATTTGAAGTATGCAATTGTGAATTATAGCAACAATGAAATGAAAGAAAGAATAACAGAAGCTAAAGCAGGTTTCAAGAGCTGCCCCCTCTCCTCAATGATTCAGAGATTTTCTATCCACTTCTTGAATGCCAAATGAAATCCCATTTCACCCTTTTTATACCTTCCTAGCTACCATGACCTCAGCCTACAACTCCCACTCCCTTTAGTTACAACTGAAATGTGCTAATTAGCTGGCTTCCTCTTGTGACGCCTCTCATATGTAAAACGTATGGGTGGCTTATCAATACCCCCTGCCAATGCAAGCACCTTGTCCCCAAGGTGAAACTCTGGAAACTGAGAGTTGATCAGCTCGAAGGGTTCCCACGAAGCCTCAAAAGAAGGAAGATTCTGCCACTGTATGAGTACTTTCGGGCTCTTATGTACAGGATCGCTACCTGAGCGAATACCTACAACGCCTGCTGGCTGTACCGTCCATTCCAAATCTGAACTGAGAAGTGGTGGAAGGGGTTGAATGTGTGTAGCCGGACCAATTACCTTTCGCAACTGAGAGACGTGGAACACCGGATGTATGTTAGCTGTATCCGGTAACTGGAGCTTGTAAGCTACAACCCCAACCTTTTGAAGGACTGGATAAGGGCCAAAGAACCTTAGAGATAACTTCTCATTTGCCCGCTTAGCCAGTGATTTCTGTCTATACAGTTGGAGTTTGAGATACACTAGGTCACCTTCTTCAAATTGGACCGTTCGCCTTTTAGAATCTGCAACTTTCTTCATCCTTGACTGAGCCTTTGCCAATTGCAAACTTCAGCTCATCAAGCATTTCATTCCAGTGCTGCAAGAGTTGATCCAGTTCAGCAATGGTTTCCGTTGAGTCCCATAATGTATAACTGGAGGAGGATCTCTTCCATAGACTACCCTAAAAGGAGTCATCTTGGTAGAGGCATGGAATGAGGTGTTATATCAAAACTCTGCCCACGGTATCCATTTCGACCAAGTGCGGGAGTGGCTATTAGCAAAGCATCGCAAATAAGTTTCTAGACAGTGA